AAGATTAGTCTTAAATCAAAATTATATATTCTCAAAAATATAAGCAAGACTATTGTAATCTTCATCTTTTTAATCTTGAGTTGAGACAGAAATAATACTTGCATCGATACCAATTCAAGATTAAAATTTTTAAGAAAAAGAAATGTATAATATTCTTACTTATATGTATGTATAGAAGAATATTTTTCTTGATTTAAGACTAATTTTTTCCTGTAAAAATATTTTGTATTTTCGTAAAAAAAACATTGTATACATCACAATACGAAATTAAATAAAGATTAAAATTTTTAAGATTATAATATTCTTGCTTATATAAGATTATAATATTCTTGCTTATATATGAGAAATACTTTTCTTGACTCGAGACCATTTTTTTCTGTAGCTGCAGCATGCAAAGTCGAATAGAAATTAGATAAAGTGAAATTAGAGAAATTAGATTTTATGAAGTGTCCGCTTAAGATTGCAAGATAGCGTCGGTGGGATAAGGCCGACAAAGATCGGCTTCTTTTATCTAGGAACAACTTTGAAATATGGCAAAGCGATAGGTGAAAGGAATGAGCGTGAAGCAACACACCGGCTTCTAAGGCGCAACAGGTGTTAATGTCATCTTCTCCACCCTATACTTTCCCCTCGTAGTGCACGTCCCTTTTCAGATTGAACAAGAAAATTTATTGATGTATGACTGTGATAAAAACTAAATGTTATGAGAATGCGATTCAAGTGCTATCTTTGAAATATTTCCGCGATAAGGAGATATACAGCGCGTATAAAAGTTTCAGATACGATCTTACGATGTATTTTCAGAAAAGCATACAATTATTTTTAGAATACGATATCTATACATATGCAATATGCGAGACTAAAATGAATATGAAATTAAAAATAATACGTAAAAAGATGCATATATATAAATAATATGTATAAGAATGATATGTATATGAATTATATTACATATAGCGAGTGAAGATATTTTTGCCCGTGATAAGATTACAATTATTATTACGGCCAATGAAGACTAAGTAAAGTCAAAACATCCGTGAATTGTTTTCTTTAGTTTTTTTTTTTAATAAATCGTTCTTTTTTTTTTAAATCGTTAAATCTCATTTGTAATTTTAGACCATATTTCTTTATATTGCTTTGTATCAATCGAGCTGATTTTTTTTTTTAAAGTACACGTCATTTTTAGCAATTAAAATTTACTAGTCTAGTTACTCACAAAAATGATCATATTTCATGTTTGTATCATCTATTTTATATTTCGTTGAAAGGATTGCGAAGAGATGGATCGGGATCGTGCGCGCTCGAACTTTGAAAATTATTTAATTGATCATGTTCAACCACGCCTTTGCGAGAACCGGCACGCGATGGAGGGAAATCGCAATGCCTGCATTGATCGACGATGAAAGGACTTGCATAATGAGCAGCGGCTAATTTAAAATTAGCACCTGCTCCTGACCTGTGCCTTCGTTTTCGTTCCGTTTCGCCGTTAAATTAGCGGAATCGGATTTCGATTGTCATCAACGAGAGACACGTCTTCGACGACGCCAGCAAAATTTTTTTCCGTTTTCTTACCTATGGAAACGCGATCGATGAGATAAAGCGTTACGTATTCTCGGAATTTATGCGATAAGTCGACAATATACGTCAACGCAGAAGTTCGAATAGGCGAAGCAGCTACGAGAACACAATAGATAGGAATGATAAACTAATAGAAAAATTGGAATTTTTTAACAATACTGTTATATACGTGGTGTACGTTATATCATCTCACAAGTTCAATTCTTTGTGCTTTGTGCAAAGAGACGTTAGGCAATATTCCAACATTGTTATGTAAAGTGACGTATAAATTTAAAAATGATCCTTTTCTCTACCGTTTACATAATAAATCGTCATGTGGAATTGCGCGTCTTTCAATTGTAGCGCAGTTTAAATTGTCATTAAAATCCGATTATAGAAACTCAAAGTATTGTAAGCCACATGTATTTCCCATGGCACGTATTGGAATCATACAATGAAAAATAATATAAAAATATGAGCGGTTTAGTTCACAAAAGGTCACGTTTAAATAAACCGATATTTTGGTGTCTGATGATTTAAGATGACATTGCCCAACTATAACTTTTAATTCTTTAAAATTTTAAAAGTAAAATGACGAAAGACATAAAATGATATTGCCAGCATCTTGAATTTGTACATCAACATTTCCTTGTAATTTTCTGTTTAATTTTTATTAATGATTTTTCATCATGATTTAATTGACCTTTTAAAGGCTGTCGAAGATACGTGAAAAATTAAAATTATTCATTTTAAAACGCAGCGTATATCGAGATAAACCGTGCAAAAAAATTAATTTTTCATTTTATGTAAAATAAAAACTCTATTTCTCTTGTATTATTTATTTTTGAAGTTTTACGAGTAGAAAAAACTTTGTGTCTCACTTCGCGGAAAGAATTAAATGTCAACTTTAAATTTCTCACATTCGAAAGAGCACATTCGTTTTGCTAATTTCCACCTTTCCATCGCGCAACCTGTACACAAGCCTGAAGCCTTTAGCGCCGGCTGCAACAATTGCTCCACGTGTCCAATATCTATCTACGCACTTACACGTGTGCAAACGCGTGTTAAGATCGCGTGTGTACACCGAACCAACAAGTCTGAACAAGTCCGGACGCGAACGCTAAGAGATGAAAAAAATGACAACGAAATTGCAACGATGATTACAGGGAAAGAACCATTTTGTTGAATACACACTCGAGAGATCAATAGGGATTCAAAAACAAGAAAGAACGTTGATATGAATATAAATTCAAAAATACGTTGTTTTCGAAAATAATCAGCATTTTTATATTGAAATTTGAAATTGCTTTGCTTTCGAATCTGTACCATGTTTATACCAACTTTTTTTCTTATTTTTAGGTCTCCAATCACCTCCCGAGCGATTGACCTCCACTTTTAAAATACCCTGTAGATCTAAAAAAAATAATTTCATTGGGCCATCAAAATACGTACGATGTTCGAATTAGTTGTTAGAATATAAAGAAAAATTTGCGGTGTAATATGCAAATATCCTTCGTAATTTTGATGGCCCAACAAAATTATTTTTCAGATCTGTATCTGGCCAAATTTTTAGAAACCTACAACAAAATTATTCTTTCCGTATATTATTTGGCCACTTTCAGCACTTTTGGACTTTCCTTTTGAGCGAGAGACTCGCGCCGGCCGGGCGCCGAAATATCGACAAACACAATCGAGCCGACGTTGCTCCTTTCGATCTGTTTATATGTTTACGCGCTCTCGTGCTGATCCGAGTCCATTCATTTTACGTGTTTGCGCAACTTTACATCGTGTCCACGCAAAATACGCTCGCGGCGTGATTTACTCCGGGCTTAACGTCACGACACGCGCGCGCGAAACGCACCCGATACAACTGGAAAAAGATCCATGTCGTAAACGACATATTCGAGTAATGATAATATAAAATACATTACGCCCACAAATAATCTCTAGCCTTCTCTCCCTTTCGCTCGCACTTTTTTAAATACCGATATCGAAAAACGGCGCGATTATTTCGATGTCGATGCGTCGATGCGATAGTTTTTAAAATTCAAAAGCTACACGTAACGCTATCACGTAATATCTCATCGTGACATCACCCCGTCGCATTAAATGCAGAATTTATGAATCAGAAAATAAGATTGAGTTGACTTTCAGTAACAATGACATTTAATACACACAGCGTGACTTGGACTTAAATCAATCGATAATTAAAGGTTAAATAATTGCGTTAGGCTTTAGATATAAATAAATCGAGTTGTTTAGCTATCTCCCCTTTCCTACTCCTCTTTCCTTTAAGTACATCTTAATTTGATAGACTTTTAATACGTAGACTTAACAAAGGTACGTTTGACGTCGAGATATCTCCCCGATTAAAAGATAACGGGGAGAAGCTTATTTTCCAAGGCGTCAAAGATATACGGCTGTAATCGGAAGTAATCGCGAGAGCGAAAGTGTCTGACTTTGGCCACGCGGCGAGGCGCGAAAGCGCGATTTTTAGCGAAGAGCGAAGGAGAAAGGCCCAGGCCCTCTCTTTCGAGCCGAAAGCGGACGGGCCGGCGGGCAAGTCACATGGCAAACGCTGAACGTGTTACATTCGCGATCGCGTAAGCGACAAACGAAGCCGTTGACACGCGGACGACGCGGATGACGCGGCGACGAGAACGAAGACGTCAAAAATCGGAGCCGGTGGCTGTATTATCGCGGATGACTCGAGAGAATAGTCGCGGGCGAAAACATCTATTTCGGTCTCGGAGCGAGGAAAAAATTCCGCGTTTATTGAAACCACATCGATCCCCCGATCATCGATTAGCGATCACGACGACTTTCCGCGCGAACCTGAAATTCTTCTAACCGAGAAATCTCGGCTACGATGACTGCCGTTCAAGGTCGCGGCCAGCGCGAGGACGTATCTCTAAAGTCTCAGGCTTCTCTATCGAACTCAATTCGTCGAGCAGATCGATGTGTGTAAAAGTCCGCGTATGTAATTCACCGTGTCAAAAGTGAAAAAAACGACTATCCGA